AAAAGAAAGAATCCTTGCTTACAATTAAGTTCTAACATCTGTTGTATATTGAAAGCAGGTCACTATTTTTCATAGTGCAAAATATGTGGAAAGCTGGAGCTGATGCTGTAATGTTTGATGTGAAGAGGTACACTCCAAAGATAAACACCATATCTCTACTATGTTGCAATTGCTGGTTCACTTACTTTCCGTGCTTGTGCAGGTGGTCCTCGACTTACCACCACCACAGCTGAGCCCAAAATTTTCATTGCTAAGTAAGATAATGAATTTTACCCCATTTGATGACCTTTCTTGCCATAGTGGTGAAGTGAATCACTGCAGTTATTTTACTAACACAGTTATTAAGTGAATCTGGCTTTTCCATTGACTTTGCTTGTCAGAAGTCACAAAAGATGATCACATTACCCCAGGACACTGCAACCGTCATAAATACATGCCGGTTGCCAAGCATCCAAATTTGGATCAGGTGACAATATGGACGTTGCTAAGATCGTAAGTCACTTTTTTTAATGCTGTTGTAACTTTGAACAGTCACCAAATGAATGGTTGTAAGTCAAGGACTACCTGTACTGTTTTATACTGGAGTCATGTTGTTTGTAAACTACCTATAATGTCCTTTTTTAGGGGGCCACAATGTATTTATTTCCTCATATAAACAGGATTGGAACATTCACCATCCTGAAGAGAGGCTGTATATGTTTCAACCCAATTATGTATCCTGTAATAATGATTTACTGGTACATACGTGCATAATGATCTAAGAAAGAAATCTTCTGATATACATACACATAATGATCTGCATAGCTGTTCAACATTTTGGTTTGCTTGGACCGCATTGAGTGAAGAGGAATTGTCTTCAGCTGCATATAAAATATATAATATAGTTAATGTATATAAATCACATAATGTTAAAAGTTTACAATCTTGTGGAGCTGCATTACTAGCTGTCCAGGGTTACATGTGGCCTGTGGGCTCAATATGCCTGACCTACAACAAGATTTGACATGCCTGACCTACAACAAGAAAATCACAGGAAATGGAATAGCTCTTTCAGTCAAAGGTTGTTATAGTAAAGCAATTCAGATGTTTTGTTCATTTTAAGGGAAATTGGGTTAAACAGAGTATCAGTGGTATCCCAAACAGCCTTTACTCTGAGTAAAATTCAAGGGTGACTTTTTGTTTCAAATGCTGATGGCCATTTCATGGAAATGTTCAGGGTTCACTTTTATTATTACCATTTTTTTTGAAGATTGATGTTATTTTGACTGGTTTTGAGAATAACTTCACATAGAAAAAATTATGCTTAGAGGAAGTGTATTATATTAGACAAAGATATTAGTGCCGATATGTCATTTGAGAATATAAAGAGTGTCAAACAGGACTGTTATTTTTAAATGTATTGGTTTGGCCAGAAAATGTAACTTGTTCTGTAGTATATTCATTCTCCCAGAAATAACATAAACCTCATTTCATCTGGTGTCATCTGTAGACAAATTTATGAGGCTATAGCTTTGTGTATCTTAATAGAAGCTTTTCCAACTTGCCTGAGTCTTAATTCTACTTCTATATCTCTGTGTGAGAACCAGTTTGGTGTAATGATTAAGATGTTGGTCAAGAAATCAGGAGACTGTGAGTTCTAATTCTGCCTTAAGTATGAAAGCTGACTGGATGATTTTGGATTACTCACTCTCAGCCCAACCTACCTGACAAGTTGATTGTTGTGGGGAAAACAGGAGGAAGAAGGACTATTATGTATGTTCATCACCCTAAGTTATTTATAAAATAATAAAGATGTGATAAAAATCTAATAATTACAACTAGGATAACTAATAATGAAACTGGAATCTGTCTTAACTTAGTTTGTGGTGGGATGTAGTGAAGGTGTTCTAAAGCATAGCTTAAGCAGGATAATCCTCAACATTTTTTTTCCTGAAAGAATTGGCGAAGGGAGATTTTAGTTAATATTTCCAACTATCTAAGCTATGTGCTAACCGAGGTACTATAATTCCAAAGTTTTTGCTTCATGTTTTCCTGTGATTTGGGGATCCTTCAGTTCAAGGCTTCAGGTAATCATACTTTCCTATTTTATATGAGCAAGGTAACTGTGATTAACCCATGTATAAACATTTTTTCAAAGTTCCAACTGGTGTTGAACTAGACTTGTTCCAAACCTGTCAGTCATGACTTATTGCTTGATCCAAATCAAGAAATGTTGCGCAAAACAAGTTTTATAGACTTTTGTGTTGATTTGAAGATTGACAGAAAACTGGTGGATAAACAAACAGAAGATTTATTTGAGATCATGACCTTATTCTGAAATAGATCCATGCATAAATCCATGTATAGTTATATCTCCTAAGTATCTAGTTTAGTTCCTGGTTCAGTGTTAAACTCTATATTAACATAAAAAGAAGACCAGTAGTGGGCTAAATGTACAAACTTAAGAGGTCCATCTAGCAGCTGCTAGAATTACTACAAATATACTGAACTGCATGGATCTGCGCTTCTTTGCAAGATTAATTTGTCTTTTGGTAAATGGGTGTTTTGTGAATGGCCACATCCATCATAATTAGCCAGTATTTGAATCTAGTGACCCATCTTTTCAAAATGCTAAATGTATACTAACCCCCTAAAAGTTGTCTATCCTTGTTTTAATTGTTGAGGCCAGGGGTAGGCAACCTTGGCTTTTTTATGAGCTATGCTGGCTCAGGAATTCTGGGAGTTGAAGTCCACAAGTCATAAAAGAGCTAAGGTTGCCTACCCCTGGTTTAGGCCATACAGTATCTCTGATCTATGAATGTTGCCTAAATAGTAGTTGGGTTGAGAAATTATTTCCCCATCCTGAGGAACTGAATTGCTAATGTAAGAATTGAGAAATCAGTTCTTCAAAAAGGCACTGAAATTAACATAAATTAAAGCAGCACTGCCATTTGGAAAGTTTAGTCTAGCAGTTAAGGTGCCAGGCTACAAAGCAGGAAACCAGGAGTTCATGTCTTGCCATGGAAGCCAGCTGGATGACTTTGGGCCAGGCCAGTCACTCTCAGCCCAAATAGGAGGAAAGTGTGTTGGGTATGTTTTCTGCCTTGAGTTTTTTGTAACTCAAGGCAGCAACTATAAAAAACAAATAAAAAATGCATGCACAGAACAGATGATGCTTTATGAAAAAAGAGGTGTATTTTGTGTTGGATATAATTCTAGACAGGGAGTGCGAATCCCCAAATCTTGAAGTTTGCTTTTGCAAAATATTTCTTTTAGCGCAAACTCTCTCACAGAGATAATATAACTGAAGTTGCACAGTTCATTGAGCACTGCAGTGGTATTGGGTTACTTAGCATTTATTTTCAGGTTTATTTAAGGGTATTATGTAATCTTTTATTTTCCAGTGTAAGGATACTACGGTATTGTTCATGACCTTATATAACTTAATATGCACCTGGAATCTAACTGAAAGAAAAGCAATTCAGGAATAGTTATCTGATCAGGGAAAAACCTGACCTGAAAACCATTAACCCTGCCTTTCTCATCTTCAGACAGCCTGTAACTCTTTTGGAGTATAGACGTATAGTTACATGTATCCACTATATAAATAAACATCTTTGCATGGGCATAGGACTGAGGTATAATGTGTTCCTGTAATGCAGTGATGGCAAACCTTTTAGAGACCGAGTGCCCAAACTGCAACGCAAAACCCACTTATGCATCGTTGGGTGCCAGGTGGATGTGGCTCATTGGGTGGGTGTGGCCCATTGGGTGGGCGTGGCTGCGGTGATAAAGGCAGACTGGGTGAGACTAAAAAGTTCAATCACTTCCAACTTTGCAAGATCTTTTTTTTCCCGCGAGAAGTTAAAATTGACTGATTGAACCTTTTTTTTTTTTTGCACACGGCGGCGGAGGCCTAAAGCGAAAAGGTTTTATAAAACCCAGCTGAAGGCCTAGGACTGGGGCGACATTGCATGTGCCCACAGAGAGGGCTCTGAGTGCCGCCTCTGGCACCCGTGCCATAGGTTCGCCACCACTGCTGTAATGGAAGTGTTCTTATGGTTCAGACAGATTTCTAAACTGCATTTAGTCTAAAATGCTCTTTTTTTGATGGTGGTGGTGGTGGTGGAAACTATAACGTTTTCCTAAGACTGTATTCTTCTCCCATCAAGGTATTCCCACCTCACCACAAAAGTAACAAGTTTGATAAGTAGTGGCATCTGACAATATATTATTCCCCCAAGTTCTCTGGGAAACTGCAGTTCTCGATGCTTACTGTGAAGTTTTCTGCATCTGGCTAGATTTTACCATCTTGACTGATCTTGACTCATCTGGCAGATAATGGTCATGATACCTAAGGAAACATAAAGCTGCTTGTTTTGATTTTGTAGAACAAAATAATATAAACCTACAGCACACAGTTTCTTTTTTTTTTAACACAGTCATGTTGTTGATATTATTTTCTTAACTAATCCTATTGCAAAAACGCCTGTTCATTTTCCTGCTGTT